TTGTCCCCGTGCACTTGCCCCAGCAACCCCACACTACAGGAGTCACTGACTTGTGAACTGGCTCTGTCCTGGACCCCACTGTGAGGGAGCCTGCCTGGTCACGCCATTTCCAGGGTAACCTCTGAGAGAAGCTGACGGGCTGCTCTGAGAAGCGCAGTATACTCTGTGTGGAGCGAGCAGGGGGGCATAGTGTCTTCCCATTGTCTGCTGCTGCCCACCTCCCCAAGGTGGGGGCTCCCACATCCCCAGCGTGTGCTGTCTCCACAGGCTGTCCTCCTGACAGCTCCAGGGCTGGCTGCTGTTGAACCTTCACTGGATCGTGGGACTTCTGTGTGTTGATGAAACCGTGGCTTTGTGCTTACAGCTCAACATTACAAGGAACATGTCTAGTATGCCCCTGCCTAATTTTGTCTGTTTGCATGTACTAAGAATTTCTTGATTGGTGGAGATATGGCTAGAGCATTCAGCAGTGTTGGCTTTGCTAGTGTTTGGTGAATAGTGAAGGAGCGGTTTGAATGCAACACCCTGGCTACCAACTCCCCTACCAACTCCTCTGTGTCTGAGCCTCTGGGTGCGGGCTGGTTCATGTAGTCATCAGAAGGCCGTGGAGGTGGTGGTGAGAAGAGGCCTGTCTCTCCCCCCTCCCCCTGCAGTGTGTCTCCTGGTGTGTCAGCTGTCCCTTGTCCTTCATGAAGACACCAGAGAGTCAAGTGGCCGGAGTGCTGGAAGACAGTCTGAACCAGAGTGAGATAGACATGTTGTCCTCTGGGTTCTCTGGGACTTGCAGAGTCTGTTACATGATGTCAAGAGGTTTGTTCTGTGGAACCACTGATTGGAGATGTGGTCCTGCGCTCTCTGCCCCCAGATCCTTGCCTCTTAGCTGCCCAGTCTTCCTGTCAGGCCAGCGACAGGACAGGGAGATGGGTCAGTTTGGTTTTGTTTTTTCTCTGATATAATTATGCTGTGTAGCCCAGGCTAGCCTCAGTTGGGATCACAGGCATGCACCACCACACCTGCCAGCACTCAGGAGGCTGAGGCAGGAGGATCTCAAGTCTGAGGCCAGCCTAGACTACATAGGCAAACCCCATCTCCTCCTCCAACAAAAGGCTAATTCATCCCACCTTTCTGATGCACTGTGCTCTGCCCTTGGACATGTGGGAGCATAGTTGGTGATAGGCCAGTCCACTGCCCCGGGACCACTGCTTTGGCTCTTGTGTGGCCCCACAGTAGGCAGGCTCAGGAGTCCAGCCCAGTGGGGCTGGAGGTGTGAGCCACTTCGGGAGCACCAGCATAGTTTGCAGTCACCCTGATCTGTCACCCTTGGAAGTTGCACAGTGGATAAGAGGCATTTCCGTCTTGAATTTTCCTATCTCTTCATTTCGCCACAAGACAGAATTGTATCACACATCTCCAAAACGAGTAAAATGGCATTTCAGCTTCTTGTCTTTATAGACTCTCTGAACTTTAGGAAAGATCATTCTGGTCCCTTTTCATTAATAATGAAAACCAGGGGGCAATAAAATGTTCTTAACGCGAGCCTGGCAGGAACAGAGCAGCAGTGCAGGGTGAAGGGTGGGCTGGCAGGGAACCACAGGTGTTCCCTGGGCTTGGGGAGGCCAGAGCTATGGCAGGGTGGGCGCTGCACAGCCTGGGGCCTGGATGCCAGGATGAACTGTGATGTCTGCCTGGTCTCGGCAGCTCTCACCCGCAGGAGAGTTTTTATGAAAGCACAAGATCCAGAAAACTTGGGGTCAGTCTGGTTTTTAGTCCAGTTACAGTTGCTTTCTTGTAAGGTATTCAGTGGATATTTGAGAATCTGTGAGGGAACCACGTGAAGGTGTTCTCTGAACATCAAGGCCATCTGCGCATGATCCGTAATCCCCCTCCCCCGCCACCAGGACAAGGCCACTTGACCTTCACATTTGCCCCTTCAAAATGAGCTTGCACTAGATTTTGGATTTTGCATCTTGCACACATAAAGAGAAAAGAAGACAAGAGAAAGGCCTGAGGAACTCAAGAGTCCTATGTCCTGGGATCTGGGGGTGTCTGCAACAGGGCCAAGCAGTGCTTTCCCCTGACTGGTTTTGGATGGAGTCAAGGCATAGCTGAGGAAAGGAGTGGAGGCATCATTGCTAACACAAACCCACGTAACAGATTGGTAAACACAAACACAAAAAATCTTTGCAGGCCACAAAGGACCATAAGTGGAACCCAAAGCAAAAAATTACAAGAATGTGTTTACTGTTCATGTTACTGAGGGCTAATGTCCCTGATTTTTTTTTTTTTTTTAATTCTCCAGCCAGGATCTGGTGGCTCGTGCCTCTAAACCTACTGTGGAGGAAGTGGCGCTGTGGCTCAAGTGGTAGAGCGCAAGCCTTGAGCTGAAGAGCTGAGGGACAGTGCTCAGGCCCAGAGTTCAAGCCTCACAACCAACCAAAAAATTAAAAAAAAAAATTAAAAAATAAACTTACTGTGGAGGCTGAGATCTGAGAATCATGATTGGAAGCCAGCCCAGGCAGAAAAGCCTTTGAGACTCTTATCTTCAATTAACCACCAAAAAGCCAGAAGTAGAGCTGTGGCTTAAGTGATAAAGTGCTAGCTTTGAGCAAAAAAGTTCAGAAGCAGTGTCCAGGCCTCAAGTTCTAGCCCAGGACTGGCACACACACAATAAAAAAGTCTTCAAAAAGTATGCACTAGTGGTGTGGCTCAGTGCTAGAGTACTTACCTACCATGTATAAAGCCCTGGATTTGATCCCCAGCACTACAAAAACAAAACAAAACTACTCAAAAGTGGTAAGGGAAATAAATCAAGTTGAGGGCTGGGGCCATGACTCAAGTGGTGGAGCACCTGCCTAGCAAGCACTAGGCTCCGAGTTTAAACCATGATACTATCAGAAGGAAAATCAAGTAGAAAGGTGAGAACACGTAACACTCATTGGAAAGAAAATGCTGATCGACAGCAAAGACTTACTCCTTTCTCAAAATGAGGTGGGTACAGGTGAGGGCCAGTGTGAGGTGCCGTTTCCCTGTTACATTGTGCTTGTTATAGATGAGAAATGAGCTTAATGTCCATTTGAAGAGAGTAGGTTAAGTGGAATTGTAGACAGCTATGAAAAAATCAGGATTCAGATGTAGAGAGGAAGAAAAGGAAACTACGACACATCTGTGTCACTTTTTATGCTCATGAAATTTCTCTGGAAGAATAGACCTGAAACTGGTAAGGGTGTCTGCCTTTTTGGCAAGTCTGACTTCTGCTGTTTGATGTTTAAACTATATGTGTGTGTTGCCTGTTTAAAATATGTGGGATAAAAAACTAGGAGTTGAGTCCTGAAGGAGGCCATTTGTTGACTACAGTTTTGACCACGTTCAGGGGATTGTGCATGGGGTGTACAGGTTGCGGGACATGGGGGACTATTATTGCCAAGGAGAGACTTGCTGACTCCTGTATCTCCCGAGAGCCCTGTTGAGCAGCCCAGGGAGGAGGGGGTATCCCTTGCTGCCTCATCCTGCCACTGAGCTGAAAGAATGGCTCTGCTCCTCTGCTCTGTCATGACAAATAGGTAGGAGAACTTGCAGACACAGGACAGCTCAGGTGTTCCTGAAATAGCAAGACCATCAGCTTGGCGAGGCAAGTTAAAGTGATTCTTCTGGAGGTTCCTGGAATGTGTCTGACCTCTCTTCCTCACCTTTCTCCCAGACTCAGCTTTCCCACAGAAACACCCATCAGGTTCCTTCTGGACAGCTTTCTATCAGCATTGTGTACCTTGTTTGTTCCCTAGCTGTTGTGAGCTATGCCATGGAGTATCCTGAGAACGGTGGCCTGGGCCTGGCATCCTGGCAGATCCTGAGAGAGGGTCAGAGGCTGGGTGACCACTTCTGGAGGCCTGGGGAGAACAGGTGCCATATACAAGGCTGCAAAATAGGGGAGTCGCTGGGCAACTAGAATTTCTTTGAATTGTGGGGACTTTACTGTTCTGGTCTCCATTTTCTGTGGGGACACACCCCCAGCTCCCTAGAGGATTCCTGAAGCAACAGACACTACAGAGCCCTGTGTATACTGTTTTCACTCTATATAGCTATAATACAAGTTTATAAATTAGCACAGCAAGATCAGTAATAATAACCAATAATAAAATGGCACAATTATAACAATATGCTTTAATAAAAGTTAATGTGAATGCATGCTCTCAAACTATTTTACTGTGCTCTGATTTTAGCAACCTCAGCGTAGAATTTCTTTCTTTTCCTATTGAGGACTTTCACCTTTTCACTTACGGGAAGGTCTCAGGGTTCTTCCCTGGAACATCCACACTGCTGGCATCTCTGCTCTTGGTCTTGGGGGCCATACTGAATGAAGTGGGGATCACTTGGACACAAGCACTGTGATGCTGACAGGGGAGCCCAGAACCAAGATGGCTACGAAGTGTCTCATAGGCGGGTACCATACACACCGTGGATCCACTGGACAGAGGGTGGTTCATGCCCTGCAGGGTCAAGAGTTCATTTACCCAGAATGGTAGCGCTTACAAAGTTAAAATTTTAAACATGAATTTTTTTCTTTCTGACTTTTCCATTGAATATTTTCTCTTATCATAGTTGACTTACAGAAGTAAAGCCACAGATAAGAGGGAGGGGAAACCCTCCATATGTGCTAGTCTTAAGAGCTAGGCCAGAGGCCTGCTTGTATGCAAAGATTAGGGACTCGATTCCATTTCCTTAACAACTGAGCTTTTCCAAGACATCTCTCCACTCCATTCTAGGCCCTTTTCACTGTCATGACCAGTGCAGGAGCCTCCCAGATTTCCTGCCTGGGTGGCTTCTCACCTCTAGCTTGCTTTAGAGCCACCGCCATGTGGCTTTCTTAAAGTAGAAATCTGATCAGGACACTCCCTCACCCCACGCCTCAGTGTGTTTCCCCTTCCACTGGGGCACATGCTCACCTGTCTCTAGGAAAAGGCTGGGTGGGAGCTCTCCTAACTTCTTTCTTTTCCTACCATCAGGCTCTGGAGGCTCCCGATGGCGAGATTACGGTGCCTTGGCCATCATCATGGCAGGAATTGCATTTGGCTTTCACCAGTTCTACAAGGTCAGTTGTCTTCTCAGGGCAGCAGAGGCTAACATTTGTCACCCTTTGCTGTTTGTTCCCCTTTTCCTGGTTCTTGGTTTATCTGCATGGAGCTGCTGTTCCTCAGTGGGTGCTCAGCTCTGGAGCAGAGGTAGAGAGCACAGGGGGGATGTGTCAGGCATCGCAGACATCCTGTCCCTGCAGACATCCATCCACCCTGGAGTCACTGACAGGGTGACCTTGAGGTCCTTCTCTTATAGAGAACTACTACTTAGAACAGTGTGGCACATAGTGAGTGGTGTGTAAACTCGTGTTTAAGAGCATGCACACCAGCTGCCTGTTTGAATCCTACTCTGCCCCTGAGTAAATGTGTGACCACAGGCCCCGTTGTCATCTGTAAAATGAGAAAAATGGATGATCTCCCACTCGGGAGGGTTCAACTTCTAGTGGCATGAAGGCATGGCTGGTCATGCAACCATCACTCTTGGTGTAGTTCAGTATTCAATGAGCAAAATCAGATAGTGAACACTTTGTTGTAAAAAAGTGTGCTTTTAATCCCAACACTGGTGGCTCATGTCTGTAATCTTAGCTACTCAAGAGGCTGAGATCTGAGTCTGAGATTCTTACCTCCAATTAACTACCAAAAACTTGGAAGTGGAGCTGTGGCTCAAAGTGGTAGAGTGCTAACCTTAAGCAAAAAGTCTCAGGGACAGTGCCCAGACCTTGAGTTCAAGCCCCACAATAGCTGTTCCTCCCCCCCCCCCCAAAAAAAAAAAAAGCGCATTTTTGCTCTACTTTAGGCTGCTGTGTGTTCTGAGCACACTGGTGGCAGGAACAGGGAGCAGAAGGCTACTTCCTGGGACAGGTGAATTGAATGCATGCTGGTGAACAGCATGTCACTAGGCCAAAACCTTCTCATAGTGAGGAGCCATTTGCAATACCTCCTGTCTTGGGAGGGCACAGGGATCAAAGAGGAGAGGGCAGAGAACTGAACCTGGCTGTGGGAGGTGCTGGAGATGCCCTTGTCCCACCTTAGTGTTACAGCCAGCTTGGAGAGCTGATGACATTTACGGGATATGCTTCTTGTCTTATGTGGAGTGTAAGCATCTGTGTAAATGTGGGCGGCATGAGTCAGCCCTCGGGAGCAGAGGTCACGCTCTCTCTCTGCAGAGCTGCAGACACTAGCAAACATTTACTCCCTTGCTGTCAGTGGAAAGGCCCAGCTTTGATTTGGAGAAACCAGAGTAACAGCAGGGTGGGTCTCAGATCCAGATGTGCTCACCCTGCAGAGAACATGCTTTCTCTTCTGAGGCCACCCACTGCTCTGCCTCACAGTCACGTCTTAAAGGACCCCAGTGATAGGCTTGTTGTCAAAATATTTAGGTCCTATGGTATAGGATTCTTAATTTTTTTATCTTTTGTTGGTCGTAGGGGCTGAACTCTGGGCCTGGGTGCTGTCCCTCAGCTCTTCAACTCAAGGCTAGCGCTCTACCACTTGAGCCACAGTGCCACTTCTGGCTTTTTTCTGCTTATGTGGTACTGAGGAATTGAACCCAGGGCCTCATGCATGCGAGGCAAGCGCTCTACCACTGAGCCACCTTCCTAGCGCAGATTCTTAATTTTTGATTTAACACAAAGGTGCAGCGGAATCTGCTGGAGTTAGAAATTTGCATGCAGAAATCCAAACATGAAATGTCTTGGGGTCTGGACATCTCCCTCGGGGCTGATGTCTGCCAGTGCCTGTGTATAGACAAATCACAAGGCAAGGGCAGGCACCGGGATAAGTCACTGACAGTGTTCTCAGAGCAGACCTGCTGGTCATCCGTGCTGACCAAGACGATCCTGGGACCCGCATGGAACAGGAGACAGGTTCCCGCCATTTTCACAGTGCTTTGGCCATGCCACGCACCTGGTTTTTGTTTTTTTTTTTTTAAATAAAAAAACATTGAAATGTCAGCCACATTGATGATACAAGAATTTCTGGAATTATCTATTAACAGTTTCTTTTAGAAAAAAAAAAGTGGTCTGACTCAGATGGCTCCATCTCCAAAATAACCCCCCAAAAGCAGGCTTAGAGGTGTGGCTGAAGTAGTAAGAGCATCAGCCAACAAGGAAGCCAAGCAACTGCGGCTCTGGTTTCAGGACTTGTTTTACATCTGTTTATGGAGGAGTAGAGGTACTGCTTCCCTGTCATTCATGACCTCAGAAGTGGACTTCGAAGCGGTTTATACATAGGAGAATCTCTCTGCTTTTATCCTCAGCAAATTTTCCACCTGAAACGTCAGGGCACATTTGATGAGTTTCAGCTCAGTTGTGGGTAATAATTCACAGCGTGGCTGAAAGGCACTTTGCAAAATAGAAAATGCTTCTATACATATGCTAAATGATGATCTTCACTTAGGAGTCACTCTTGAAATGAATTCTCCCACAAACCCCTTGTGAGAGACCTTTTCCTTCTCCAATACAGAGCCCTTAATGGAGAGGCTTCTTTTTTCCTACCTGAGGCCCAAATAGGCTGAGAACCACAGTTGCCCTTCCCTTTGGCTAAGGTGGTGCCTGTTGGGCCACACTGGGTCTGCTCTGGCACCGCCCTTGCAGGTTGGCAGTGGTGGCCCCATCCCTATGATGGGGGCTTTGCCTCCCACGTCCCATGCTTGTGAGTTCCCTCAACCCAGCTCCCCCACAGTGTGTGCTGCTGCCTAGGCACCATGTGTGGGGACCCTGCAGCCATGGCATTTTTAAATTTTTTTTTTTTTGCCCCCAGGGTGTTGTCTCCTCTGCCTTGTCTAGGAAAATAGGGCCACTTGGGGCTCTGTGAAAGATACTTATTCTGGTAACTCAGGCTTAGTTTGTTTATTTAATTTTGCCAGTCCCAGGGCTTGAACTCAGGGCCTCTCTGTGAGGTCCGTGGCCTCTCTGTGGTCAAGGCTAGCGCTCTAGCACTTGGGCCACAGTGCCACTTCTGGCTTTTTCTATGTGCGTGGTACTGAGGAATGGAACTGAGGGCTTTATGCATGCTAGGCAAGCACTCTACCCCTAAGCTGCATTCCCAGCCTTTCAGGCTTAAAGGCCTCAGAAGAACTGTGCAAGGGTCCCAGAAGTCTGTGGTGGACTTTCCTTTGGGTTCTTGAGTAATTTTTGTTTACTTAATTTTAGTTGTTTGTTCTTGAATGGATGAAACAATTTGTTTCATTCACAGGATTAAAACAGTTTGATTCAGAAAAATACCTAGTAAGCTGGGCACTGCGATCTGAGGATCGTGTATCAAAGCCAGCCCAGGCATCTTTCTGGATTTTTTTTTTGATCCGGTCGTGGGGCCTGAACTCTGGGCCTGGGCGCTGTCCCTCAGCTCTTCAGCTCAAGGCTAGCGCTCTACCACTTGAGCCACAGCGCTATTCCCAGCTTTTTTCTTTTTGCTTATGTGGTGCTGAGGAACCCAGGGCCTCATGCATGCAAGGCAAGCGCTCTACCACTGAGCCACCTTCCCAGCCCCCAGGCATCTTTCTGCATACCCATTTACAAGTTTTTCTTAAGTGTGTTTTGGGGGTGGTTTTGGTGCTAGTCCTGGGATTTGAACTCAGGAGGGCTTGGGTACTGTCCCTGAGCTCTTGAGCTCTTTTGCTCAAGGCACTCTACCACTGGAGCTACAGCTCTACTTCAAGTTGGTTTTTTTTTTTTTTTTTTTTTTTTATATTTTGGTAGCTAATTATAGATAAGAGTCTCATGGACTAGGACTTCCTGCCAGGGCTGGCTTTGAACTACAATCCTAGATCTCAGCCTCCTAAATAGCTAGGATTACAGGTGTGAGCCACCAGCATCTGGCCTTATAACTTTTAAAGTATAATTGATCAGTGATGTCATAGAAATAGTATAGCACTGCTGAGAAAAGGACATGAAAGAATGAACATGTTTACCTTGAGCTGGGAGTGTAGCTCAGTGTAAAACACTTGTCTTGTGCAAAGACCTAGGTTCCCACTTCAGCACATCACGGTGGGAAAACCTGGTTTTCCTCCCCCTCTTCCTGTTTGGCCCTTGTCTTCATTTACATACGATTTTTACATGGCCATCTCATAAACTTTTTAAAGCATCTTTTTCACTTATGGATTGTGCTGGGGTTTTCAGACCCCAGGAAGGACGGACCAGGGTAGGATATGAGAGACTGACGGAAGACAAGCAAGTGTGCCATCCTCACCCGTCCTCTTCTTGCAGAAGTACCTGCTGCCCCTCATCCTGGGCGGCCGCGAGGACAGGAAGCAGCTGGAGAGGATGGCGGCGAGCCTCTCGGAGCTGAGTGGCAGCGTGGCCCAGACAGGTAAAGATTAATGACTCCATCAAGTCACCCCTCAAAGCCTTCTCCTCGAAGCCCCTTTGCGCCCCTCCCCTCTCCCTCCGTCTCCACTTTATGTGGTGACTTCATTTATCTGCTCCAAGAATCTGTTCACATTTGCAAATGAAGCCGCCGTCATTTCGGTTTAATTTGAAATTGCTTGTTTACTGTCGGCGCGGCCTCAATTAATTATGTTTTTACGGAAAGGCTCCCAACCTCAGAATATTAATAAGGGGAATAAAATGACAGCCTTTCTAAGGGCTGTAAAGTTCATTTTTAATTTCTGCTTCTATGAGGTTTTCAGGGGGGTTTTCAGTGATTTTTCCCCCCTTCCCTCGAAGAATCCAACTCAGGGTCAAGAGAGTCTGTAATTACTGTGGCTCCCAGGACCCCGGCCACCCCTCTGTTATCGACTCCACGGGGCTGGCGTTCATTACCCGCTGCCCCAGTGATGGCCCAGATTAGCTGAGACCTGTCGCGCCAGAGGTGGCTTTCCTTCTTTATAAACTTGTTTACTAGGTGGAGGCTCTGAGTCTGAAACTCAGAGCAGGCAAGAGAGCCACCTGTCCTGGGCACACCTTCTCCAGTGCGTTCTCCCCGATGCAGCCACTCCTAAGAGCTGCCTCAGTGATCCCAGCCTGGGGGTCCTGTGACAGCTTGTGGGGCTCGGCAGGCAGTTCCAGGCTTGGGCTGTCCTCCGCTCCCAAGGACGCGGTGAGGCCTGGGTAATGAGTGATGCCAGCCTGATGCGGGCTGAGAGAGCTGGGCACATCCCCGCCGGGCTTAATTAGAGGGGAGAGGTTTCGGACGGATATACTGTTGACCACGGACAACCACACAATAGAAAGATGAAGTAGAAATACTAGAGGTGAGATACAGTGCAGGTGAATTACCCAGGGCACAGATAAATTGTCTGGGTTGCGGGGCGGGGGCGGGGGCCTGCAGATAAATTAGATGTAGCAGGAGTGCGGGTGGCTCACAGGTGTGTGGGCTGAGGAGGGAACAGGGGACACGGACTCAACTGATGCCACACTCTTTTCCCCAGTGACTCAGGTACAGACGACACTGGCCTCTGTCCAGGAGCTGCTGAGGCAGCAACAACAGAAGGTCCAGGAACTGGCCCATGAGCTGGCCACCGCTAAGGTACTAATCTTTGAACGCCTGGATCTCCAGGCCCTGGTATGGCCTGTACAGCTCTGACTCCTCCCCCTATCCCAGTGTCCCTGGGTGACATACCAGGGGTGGCTCAGTCCCACACAGACGGGAGGAGTCTCTGTGCTCTCAGTTGTTCTTCTGGTCTCTCTCTCTCCTCCCATCTCCACTGGGAGCACTTAGGGCAATCCCATCCCCACAGCTCTGGAGACTGGTGCTGGAAGTTAGGTTGTAGGCCCCAGCCTTCTTTGCCAAGGAGTCCAGGAAACAGAAGGGAAAAGCCCCCATGATAGTAGACAGGCTCTCTAAACCCGGGCTTTCAGCCTCAGGGGCTGTGAAAGGAATTGGAGCCAATCAGAATCCTCTCAAGCTGCTTTCCCCATGTGGAAGCATTCTTCTCTGTCTGGTCATAGGATCAGTGTAGTGGATTAAAGGCCTTGCTCTCACATTTGTTAGCGGTAGACAAGTTCCTTCACCTCTCAGAGTCTTCCTCTTCTGTGAAATGGAGCCATCATGGAACCTCCTTCAATGGGCTCCAGCCAGAACCCACGATTGCAGGCCCTGGGTTCTGGGGCCTGAGGCAGTGTGGACAGATGGATGAAGGTGAAGGTGGTGCAGCCTCTAACCACAGCTGCTGTCCCAGGGGAGGCCACCCTAGTGCCCAGCTGGATTGCAAAACAAACTACTTGCTACTTCCAGCGGAGTCTGGGGCCTCTTGTGATAAGGGTCCTCAGGAGCCCCCTCCCCTTTAGCCACACTGTTCAGGCTCACCTTCAATTCCTGCTCAGCTGTCTGGAGGTGCTGGTGGCTATGGCCACTGTGGGTTCCCTGCAGCAGCTAGGAAGAAGCCGGGAAGGTGGCTGCCGCCCCCACCCTACTCTGTTATCTTTTGGATCTGTGGCCTGCCCATGGCCAGCAGCATTCCGGAAATTGGAAAATGGTTTTCAGGCCCTGAGCATCAAGATGAAGACCACATGTTGCATTGGGGGAGGGGGCTGGTTGGTGGCAGTGCTTGTGATGGCCTCAGCTCTTCTGTGCCCGAGGCCCCGCCCCTCGTTCCGCCCTGTTCTCCCTACCAAAGCTGCGCTTTGGGCCTGGCATCCAAACCCATGTGTGTGAGGACTTGGGTTACCCCATAAACCAAAGACTCAGAACTGTGTTTTCTCAGCTGTAATGTTAGTTTTTATATCTGCCTTCCAAACTCCTACTGGAGCACTGTAAAAAATTAAAAAGAAGAGCTTTAAGTAATTAAAAAACCTACATAAAACTGAAGGCTGTGAGTTTTCTACAACTGTTTTTTAAAGAGACTGGCTAAAAAGCCCCAGATGTCAGATTTTATTTCTAAATCCTGGCATCTGGCACCATATGCCTTTGGAAATCTGAGTCCTTTGTAGGCCAGTGAGTGGAAATTGCTCCCTTGTTAATGGGCTGCCGTAGCTTTCAAGGTCTCGGAGAAGCCAGAACAGTGGCTCCCGGGCCCTCCCTGTGTGGTGGTCTGGAGTGGGGGACCCTGGGGGGATGGATGTGAGGACTCTGGGTGTATGCTTGCTCCCCTGTAGACCTCCTGGGTTTCTTCCCAAGACCTGAGGCCCCCTTGGCAGGATATATAACTATGGTGTACCCAGCTGGCTGTGTTCTTGCTGGGCTGGCCTGCAGTGGTCTGTCCCTACCTTGCATCAGAGAGACCCCACAGCAGCCGGCAGGGAAGAGCTTGAAAAGACCCCCATCCTCCAGTGTGGGAGCAGCTTGTCAAGGAAGCAAGAACCTGGCTCGACTTTCCAGGCTCACACTTGAGATCACCAGGCTTGGTGATTGCAGGTCTAGGCTGCAGCTGCACGTCTGGAATTCACCTCTCTGCGCACCATGTGCAGTCTGGCTACTGACAGATCTACATGGGGACTGGTTTTTTGACTCTCCTCTTTCCATCTGCCCTGATGGAATTTGCCAGGAGTGAGGCATGGGACCCTCACTTATCGGGGGGATGCCGTCAGTGGTGTGTCTATCCTGGGCCTTCTCCAGGGGAGGGTGGAGGTCAGGAGCTGGAGCAGTCCCTCACTGAAGTCACCCCTGACCATCCCAGGGGAGAGATGTGAGAGGGTGGCACCCAAGTGGCTGTTGAGATTGGGGTGTGGCGGGGAGGCATCTTTATGTCTCTGAGGAGTCGCTGGGAGCAGCCTGGGAGTGCAGCATGGGGCAAAGCTGCCGTCTAGGCTTGCTGAAGTCAGAGCTGTGGAATGGGCAGGTGCTCTGGTACCCCTCCCGCCCCGGCCCCAGCATCTAGCATCCAGAGTACCTTCTTGGGAATCTGCTGTGGTTCAGAGTGGCCTCCTCTCACGTCTGTGTTTGGTGGTGATTTCTGGGGGGTGGGAGCGCGTAGGACGCAGTTGCTTGGGTGGCGCCGTGTTTATCACAGGAGCAAGTGCACCTCCGTGTCTCTGGAGTGATGAGGGCTTGTTTGCGGTTTCTGTATTTTACGTGCACAGGATACCCCTATGTCACCTAAAAATGTGATGCTTTCTTAGCACCATCAGAAACTTAGAGCTGTGGGACTGTTTGGCTTAGGAATGTCCTCACAAGCAGATGCACCCCAAGTGGCAGAGCAGGTGGCCACTGCCTCCCCGGGGTCCTCCTAAGCTGCACGCCACCCCCTGGGCTGCGTGGAGGGTCCATTCTCATGTGTGCCCTGTGTTTTGACTTTCAGGCCACCACATCTACCAACTGGATCCTGGAGTCACAGAATATCAATGAACTCAAGTCGGAAATTAACTCCTTGAAGGGGCTTCTTTTAAATCGGTAGGAGACAAGACTCCTGGGCTCTGCCCCACCTAGTGTGGGCTGAGCAGCCAGCTGGCGCTCCTGGGCTTGGTTAGCAGTGGGTAGGGCATAATTCCCAAGGTGTGGCTAAGTTTAGGGGTCACCCAGGGGTTGTCATGGACATTAGGATAAAGCTCCCCTTTGTCCCATTCAAGAGATAAGTGCTTAAGCTGGGCGCTGGTGGCTCACACATGTCATCCTAGCTACTCAGGAGGCTGACACCTGAGGGTTGAGGACCAAAGCCAGCCCTGGCAGGAAAGCCCATGAGACTCTTATCTCCCTTAGCCACTAAAAAGCCAGAAGAGGAGCTGTAGCTCAAGTAGTAGAGCACTAGCCTTGAGCAGAAAAGCACAGGGACAGTGCCCATGCCCTGAGTTCAAACCTCAGAACCAGTACACACACACATACACACACACACACACACACACGCACGCACGCACGCACACACAGAGGTAAGTGCCTCTGGCTAAAGGGACAGACACGTCATCTGGTGGCATTGGAGCCAAGAAAATGGCAAACTGCATTTCTTACTTGTGTTTGTCTCTGGTGACTAATGCAGGCTGTGGGTCTGAGGTAGAGGGCTGTCTCCACGGCCACGCCTGGTAAGACAGTGGCAGCCCAGGACAGGAACTAGGCTTGTCCTTTAGCTGTGGCAGAGGGCTCACCTGTTAGAGAGTGCCACCCCTGAGCCATAGCCACATAGATCCTTCCTCCCAGCCCCTCCTGGGCTGGCTGCTGGCCCAGGGCCCAGAGGGAATGCCAGACAAGAAGCTGCTGCCTCTTCCCTGCCCAAAGCAGAGGTTTTTCCAGCCAAGGGCTCTGATGTCACCCACCCCCTTGGCCCGGGCTCCCCACGGCCCCAACTACTCAGGCTGTGGGCAGATTTGAGGGAGGCCTGGGTGTCTTGAGTCCCTAGCCTTTGCCCCTTCTGCTGTAGCCACAGGGGTGGAGGCAGTGCTGGGGACGAGGAAGGAGCAGGCTCCAGGCTGTTGTGAAGGGAGGGAGGCAAGTGTAGCCCCTGGCTAGGAGGCCCAGGGAGGAGGGGAGAAGCAAGGCTGCTCCCCTCTCCTGCCCTGGGGTCCAGAATGAGAGCTGGATGCTGTCACCAACGCCTGCTGGCTTCTTCCTCTGCCAGGAGACAGTTCCCACCGTCCCCGTCAGCGCCGAAGATCCCATCCTGGCAGATCCCGGTGAAGTCGCCCTCCCCCTCCAGCCCGGCCGCTGTGAACCACCACAGCAGCAGTGACATCTCCCCGGTCAGCAACGAGTCCTCCGCCTCCTCCCCTGGGAAGGAGAGCCACAGCCCTGAGGGCTCCACAGCCACCTACCACCTGCTGGGTCCCCAGGAAGAAGGCGAGGGGCTGGTGGACGTGAAGGGCCAGGTGAGGATGGAGGTGCAGGGTGAGGAGGAGAAGAGGGAGGACAAGGAGGACGAGGAGGACGAGGAGGATGACGACGTGAGCCATGTGGATGAGGAGGACGTCCTGGGGGTGCAGAGGGAGGACCGGCGGGGTGGGGACGGGCAGATCAATGAGCAGGTGGAGAAGCTACGGCGGCCGGAGGGCGCCAGTAATGAGAATGAGCGGGACTAGGCCCGCATGGCAGCCGCACCGCCTCTCCAGCGCCCGGCCCCCCTGGGCCCGTGGGGGCTTTGGGCTCTGGCCCGGCCTCCTCCTCTGGCTCTGAGAGGGCCAGGCACTGAGCAGCCTTCAGTTGTGGCAGTGTGGGGGGCCGTGTTTCTGTCCACCAGCCTCCTCTTACCCCAACCTCAGCCCTCCCCTGCCGCTCCTCAGCCCAGCTCCAGCCCCCGGGCGGGCTGGGGCGGGCCGGGCCTAGCTGCCGAGCCTCAGCACCACGGCTCTTGCGCCACTCCCCCTGGACAGGTATCCTGTCCAGGTGTGTCTGCTGAGTGTCTGGACGAGCGTGACGTCATGCATGGCTAGGGCTCCTGTCCTCACCTGCCTCCCGGGGGCGGAGCTGCGGTCCCCTGGTCCCCGCCACCCCATCCCGGCCCCCCCGCTGTCCCTTTCCAGGGCCTGTTGGGGGCCCAGTCGCCCCTCAGCCAGGTCCTGCCTGCCTGGCAGATGCTGCCCTCAGGCGCCTGTTCCCACCCATCCCACCTGCTCTGCCCTGTCAACAAATGAAGCCACGCCACGCCGCGCTCGCTCCCGACCATCCTCGCTTGCCGCGTCGGGCCAGCCCGTCCCGGGGGAGATGTGATTCCCCCGGCAGCAGGGCCTTGCTGACCCACAGCCACGTCTGTCCTTGCCCCGAAAACCACATGCTCATTTGTGTGATCATGTATAGATTATGACTGTATATAATTGTAATAAATACGAGTTGCCACTATTTAATTCCTGCCTCTGGCCCCACGCTGGGTTTCAGCTCGGCCTCCACGAGGTGGTTCCCAGAGAAGGGCCTGCCGGGCCCCAGGGCCGGGCCTGGCTGCTCACCTGGACCCAAAAGGCTCCTGCCTCCTGCCTGGTGTCTGTGGAGGGCGACGCTCCCCGGGAGCAGGAGAAGGGAAGGGACCGCCCGCTGCTGGATAGAGAGCTGGCGGCGCGGGGCTGATGAGTCTCCTTCCTTAAATGGACGCGCATTCCCCGGGAGCCCGGCTCCTTCTCTCTTGCCTCCATTCGAACCTCCTTGTCTCCCCTCAACCTCCTCAGAGCCCTGAGCACAAACGGGAGCCAGGAGAAGCTCCCTCTGCCCCACCAGGAGCCGGGCCTGGGCGCCGGCATGGCCCTGGGCCTCGTGGACATGGGGCCTGAGAAACAGCGTCCAGCTATAGAAGGTGGAGCCTCGCAGGGCCACGCTCACACCCGTGTGGTGTTGGAGAGCAAAGAGGACCCCCTCGCATAGCCGGAGGGTGCGGCCTGGGCCTGCTGCTGGCCCAGCCTCTAGGCAGCAAAGGGCTGGAGCGCTTGCCTTAGCTGGTGGTCTGGCAGGGTCGTGCTTCACGCTTGCCACCTCGCACGGCCCTGCCCCGGTCTGTCCACAGCCTCATGCTCCCTGGACCAGCAGAGCCCAGGTGAGAGACACCTCTGCACTGCCCTCGCCCCAGCAGCCCCGTGCCGCCAGCCTGGCCTTGAGCCCTTGAGGGAGGCAGGCAGGCCCAAGATGGACCAGCAGGGGGCGGGCCACGTCCCACCCTGGCTAGCCATGCCTGGGGGAGGGGAGGGGGGCTCCCCCTCTGTGGCGGATAGGACACCTTGGAAATGTTTCCCAAGATCACAGCCTTCTTTGGTTCAGTGACCGTTGGTCATTGCCTCTGACTTGTGCGCTCCTGTCTAGTGGGCACGGAATGGGAGGCCCGAGGGAAGAGACCTTGGGATGCAGATGAAGCCAGAGGATTTGGGATTGGGCTGCTGTGACCTGTGCCTTTTGTCTCCCTGTCCCCTAGAAGAGGAGCCACCAGCCTCCCACCTGGGGGGCCAGCAGACTGGAAGGTCCTGGGCTCAAGCTCCCAAGGGAAGGGATGGGAACGTGGACCCCGAGGCCCTTGGCCCCCATGGGTCCTGAGCACAGAGTTCAGCTTTTGAGGCCAGCGAGTCTGGCGTGACTTCAGGGAGGAAAAAACCCCTCCCCAAAACAGCGAGAGTGCTGCCTAATAAAGGCAGCGGCTGGACGAGGGAAAACGGCCCTTTGAAAAAAAGCCTTTCATTAGAAAAATAATGCATTTCATCCAAATAAGGTAAAAATATTTGGAATGGGGCAGAAGTGAGCAGCAGGCAGCGCCTGTCGGCCCTGGCTGGAACATTATTAAACCCAATTACAGTGTCTTTTTATAAAGTGTCCTTTAGGAAGGAACTTGCCCCTGTGCTCCGAGCGCTGCTGTCCTGGCTTCCCCGGGGGGCCTCCCTTCACCCCAGCCAGGCCTCCCCCAGTGCCCGGTCACTTGTGGGGTATACCTTGGGCAGGGCACCTTGCTGTGAAGGACAAAGCTTCTCCCTTGGCATTTGTGTCACCCAGGGAGGGTGAGAGACACAAGCATCCAGGTGGTCACTGTGGAAGCAGCAGCTCCCGCTCGGAGCCCCTCAACCGAGCAAGGGGACACCCAGGTCGGGAAAAGGGTTTGCTGGGAGCGCTGCGTTTCCCCTCTCGTCCAGTACGTATCCGCTGCCAAGCAGCCAGTCAGTCCAGGCGGGCAGGAAGCAGGCCTCCCTCTTCTGCCCCTTCCATCTCTGCCAGTCGGCTCTCACCCTTTCTTTAATGATGAGCACCTCAAGCCAGCCACCAGTGCCTCGCACCATCTGTAATCCTAGTTACTGTCGAGGCTAAGATCTGAGGATTCTGATTTGAGGCCAGCCCAAGCAGGAAAGTTCATGAGACTCTTATCTCCAACTAATCAGCAAAAAGCCATGAGCTACCTCTTAGTTAAGAGGTAAAGTGCTAGCCTTGAGCAGAAAAGCTATGGGACAGTGCAGGCCCAGAGTTCAAGCCCCTGGATCAGCGCGCACACATCCCTCTCCCCCTGCCCCTCCCCCCCCCCCCCACAGGACTTCCACGGTGCGGCTCATCTGCTGAATGACCTGCGGCACCCCCGCACCCCGCCAAGACCCCTGTGACCCGCCAGGGCACAGCGACTCCCCAAAGTGGGAGGAGCAGGACCGGCTGTCCTCAGGAGTGCGACGTCTGCAGTGCCGCTGAGACTGCGTCCGTCGGAGGCACTGGCAGGACAGGGTCTGACGCTGCGCAGAGTGTGGCTCCCGTGAGGGCTGGGCCTCCTTCCCCACAGGTGGGGCTTGGCTGCTCTCCTTCCTTCCTCACCCTCAGCCGCTGTCACCGGCCACGCAGTGCAGCTGAGCAGACACCTCCAGGGCACTGGGGACAGGAAGTCACGGCCGCTTCCAGGCCTGAGCCGACACGTGACGTACTCGTCACACTCCTCTGCACACAGCCCCAGGCCAGCCTGAAATTTCAGCCAATATTTTGGGTGACTTTACCTGTAACATGAACAAGTCTTAATGATTCTGTTCATCAAGCTTAAGAGTTTGTGTTCTGGAAGAAATCAGATTATAATAACTTTATAAGGAGATGCCTGGAGCCTTTCCTTGCTCTATGGCAAGTGCTGGGAGAGCTTTCTTTAAAGAGACAGGGTTGCTAGGTATGGTTGTACATGCCTGTAGTCCCAGCTAATCCAGGGCCTATGATAGGAGAATTGCATGAGCCCAGGAGTTCAGGGCCAGCCTGGGTATCACAATAAGACCCTGTCTCAAACAAAAACAGCCAGGCACTGGTCATGCCTGTAGTCCTAGCTACTCAGGAGGCTGAAATCAGAGGATAGTAGATTGAAACCAGCCTGGGCAGGAAAGTCCACAAGATTCTTAACCACCAAAAAGCTGGAAGTGGAACTGTGGCTCAAGTGGTAGAGAGCCATCCTTGAGTGAAAAGCTAAGGGACTGCACCCAAGCCTTGAGTTCAAGTCCCAAGATACACTCTCTCTCTCTCTCTCTCTCTCTCTCTCACACACACACACACACACACACACACACACACACACACACACACAGGAAATGACAGGGCCATTCATGGTTTTAAGCAATGCTGATCCTTTAGGATCCGTTATAACCCTGTAATTCCCTGTGAGTTGACACGACACACACCGAACACCCAATATGGAGCGTCATGCCACCAATGCCATTTCGTAAGATGGCCAGATCCACACAGCCAGCCAGCCTTGCCTGGCGACTGCCTGTGCTGTCCAGAGGAAGCGGCCTGCTCCAGCGGACGGCCTGTGGCTTCTACTGAATGTAATTGATGGTAAGTCAAGCCATGGAAGCTTTGGCACTGGGCTTGTGACCCAGGGAGGCTTGTCTCCCAGGCACCTATAGACAGATGCAGGGCGCCTAGAGAAAGCAGGGTGTGGCAGGCAGCCTCTGCAGGCTCCAGCAGGACTGGGGCTGAGGGCAGTGGGCTCCTGCCCCGGTGGAAGGCCCGCTGAGGCCGCACAGCTGGGTCCCGCCGCCCTCTGCTCACCATGCCAGGCTGGAGCCTCCTGAGAGCCAGCAGCGCCTCAGCAAGGGTGTCACGCGTGGCCTTTCTGCTCTTGGCATGGTCCTGTGATTCCGGGGCTGTTGGGGGTGCTGCCCCTTGGAGGCCTGGGCTGGGCTGGGCTGGGCTGGGGGCGGGGGCGGGCTGGGCTGGGCTGGGCTGGGCTGGGCTGGGCTGGGCTGGGCTGGGCTGGGCTGGGCTGGGCTGGGCTGGGGGGGGGGTAGTGACACTTTCTTTCCCACCCCTGTGTCTGGGCCTTGGACCAAGGCTCCCTGTGTGGTCAGGGGCACCTTTCATGATGGTGGGCTGACAGTCCGCCTGGCTTAGCAACCTGGATGTGCCCTCCCCCTGCCCCCTCCCCTGTCCCCCTCTCCGGGGGCGGGGAGATGAGCTGCTGCACACTGCTCCTGCCTGAGGAGGAGACAGGCGGTTGAACGCAGCTGCTTCTGGCCCCTTCCCAGAGGTTTTGAGGCTCTTGAATGTGCCCCAGTTGGGGTGCAGAAGCGTCATCCCACCACAGCTAATTAAATCCCACAGGGAAAACGTGTTACTGTTTCCTCCCAAGTCCCCCATGCCAATGGGAACGTGGTGGGGTCTGGGGCTGCTCCCCATGCCCTTCCCTGTGGTGGGGTGCCACCCACAGCCTTGGGCTCCCCCCTGGCTCTAGGCGGTGGGGTAGGGGTGCATATACACGGCTCTTTTCTTTGCCCTGGGCCGGGCAGCCTATTATTCCCCTAAGACTCAGTGTCTTGGCTGGGCCCTGGCTTGGATGCAGGACCTGCCCCTGGCAGGGCCATCTCCTCTCCTAGTCCTGAGACCTGGTCACGCTGAGAGCCCTGGGGAGAGGAGAGAAGGGAGCAGTGTGTGTGAGGGGGGTGGGGGGTAATAGGCTCTAGTCAAGGTCAGCAAACTGCCCCAAGTCCTGCCTTACCTTTCTTCCCCGAGGCCCAGGAGCAAAGGAGCTGCTCCTAAGAGAGCTCCCCACTGCCCGCTGCTCCAGCCCAGAGGGGGCCCCCCGAGGCCTCGCCACCTACCAGCCTGCCGCGGCTGAGGTCGGGCTTGGCTCCCTGCCTCACTTGTGGCCCCCCAGAGGCTGCGTGGCCCCCCAGAGCCCCATGAAGCTCCAATCATGGTTTCTAATTTGTTGAACTTGTGTTTTATCCCATAAATTACTCACTGTTTTATTTCACCGAATTGAGATATCTACAAACAATAGGCGAGTTCCAACTTGAACATTTTAATAAGACTAAAAAAGTATATATTTTCATGTCTGTTACAAACATATTTATGTAAATAGCTGGCGGCCGCTCCAGGAGGAGTGGGAGGGGTGGGCCCTCTGTGCCAGGATGAGCTGGAGGCA